AGGTATCTGCTAAGGATTGAAATGTTTATTTTCAGCAAATTAAATGAAAAGGTCAATATATGAAGGATAAAATATGCTTAAGTTCACAAAACCACATTCAACCATAAGTTGCCACTTTTAGTGTGATTAAATGTTAAGTTTAATGCGTTCCTATGGGGTTTTCAGTTCCGTTTAGCGATGTTTCCGGATAGCTGGAAACTGCCCAGAGTACTGGCAAGGTGCTGGTGGAAACAGAAGTGGCAGTGGAAGGGGAATCCTGGGCACAGAGGTGCCTCCACACCCCATTCCTGTCGTGCCCAACCCCGCCTATAGCTCAGCTGGCCTGCCAATGCCAGTTGCTCCAGATCCTGGCCTGTCAGGATCCTAGCATTGCAGCTGCAGCCACCTCCTCAGGTTTAGCTGCCAGAGGTAGCGATCCAGTGATTTATGGCTCGCGTGCCCACTGTTAGTCGCATACCCCCCAGTTAGTTTACTGCTTTTTTTCTGGTCACAATAGCTGCCAGGCGATCCAGTGATTTATGGCTCGCGTGCCCACTGTTAGTCGCATACCCCCCAGTTAGTTTACTGCTTTTTTTCTGGTCACAACGCACAGTCAATATTGAAACATTTTCCTTTCCTGCACTGTAACTGTGAAACATTTCCCCCTCACTCCCAAGCCAACTACACCAGAGCACAGAGTGCTGTCCTCTGAAGATGCTGGCCACAGAGACTGGCAAAACATTAGGAAGAACAACTTCAGAACACAGCCAAAGAGCCCGAAAAACCCACAACAACCATGATTATCATTTCTGACTTAGGACAGCAACAGGATTTTTTAGATATAGTGGGGTCTTGACTTGAGAACTTAATCCATATTGGAAGGCGGTTCTCAAGTCAAAAAGTCTGTAAGTCAAGTCTCCACTGACCTCTTAGCCGCTCAGTGAGGGGAGGGTAGAACTGGTAAAACTACCCTTTAAATAGCTCATTCACATGGAAAACCCTATAAGGTTAGCTATAAGTCTATTCCAATATGACAGTACACCATATGCACAGTTGGACACTCTGTCCGCTGCACCACACTGGCTGTTTGGAGGGGTATGTAACATATTTCAGACACATTAACAGCTGTCACATAGAAGAAGATAACTCCTTATTCTCTGTTAGGGTGAGAGGCAAGACTAGGCTTACATTACATACAGGTAAATCTCTTGAATATTAAAGTCACTTGAAAGGAAAGCAATTAAACAAGGGAAGCTATTTTGTAAAGGAAAGATGGAATATCCTTTGGTTGCAGACAGATTTCCTGGATCACGCAGACAAGTGGGCTAAATAGCCCATAAACTACATTTCAACCTTTTGAGTCGGGAATTGACGACTCCAAGGTGAAGCATCAAGTGTCCTTCTTGGAAGCCATGAAGCCTCTCTTGGAAAGCCTAAACATGCTAATCAGAAATATTCAGGAGGGGGGAGATTTCAGATTGAGAAGCAAGAGATGCAAGAAATTTAGGCAGAATAAAGGAGTTCTTTTTTCAATTCGAAGCTAACCCTCTAGATGAATGCCAGGTAACTGATCTGGTGACAAAGAGACCTTCTTTTGTATAAAGTTGGGAATAGGAACGTAGCACAGTGGAAATTAACATGTGAGCAGGAAGATAATCTCTGTGGTTGCTGAGAAGCTTTTTCTTCTAAAAAATCCTTGCAAAATGCAAATGAAGTACAGTGGTGCCTTGCTTAGTGATTGCTCCGTTGAGCGATGAAATCACTTAGCGACGGGGTTTTGGCCATCGCCAAAGCGATCGCTTAGAGATGGCCCCTATGGGGAAAAATCGCTTTGCGAT